CACCAGCCACGTGGCAAGGTATAGATTTATAAAAATGGGTTAATTTAAGATATAAGAATAGTTAGCAAGAAGCCTGCCACGGCCATACAGTTTGTATGCAATATAAGTCTCTGTTTACTTGTTTGGGTCTGAGCGGCTGTGGGACTGGCGGGTGACAAAGATTTGTCCTGACTGTGGGCAAGGCAGGAAAACTCTAGCTACAGTGGACTGCATAGAATACAGAAATCCGATAAACTACACAGTCTAATAAAATAGTGATTTTAGTTTGTAAGTACATTCTATGATCATGCAAGTATAAAAATCTCAACAATCTTAGAATGTCATCATTAAATGATACATGGTTGTAATTCTATAGAGAAAATAAGGTAATGAAAATTATTTTATTATCACCATCACCTTAAGTGACAGTATCATTCTCACCAATAACAATCATGCTGAAAACCAGAGAGAAAATAATTTGTAACTTATTAAGTCATACAACTATTAAGTTTCAAAAGTAGAATTCAAATTCAGGAATGCATGCTCTAAAACCATGTTCTTCAGATTACTCATACATTCTGCAGAGAAGACTGTCTGTAGACTTTATCTTTCTGAATTTTATAGGGTAAAATATTCTTCCTTTAGAGGGTAAAATATTCTTCCTTCTATTCAAGTGAGTTAGCAAGCACAAATCGACTTGTGGGCAATAATATAATGAATGAGTCTTTTCTGTTGGCCAAGTGTTTTCTAATCTATTTTGGCTTACCAGTTTGAGTTAAACTTCAACTTAGAAAAAAAATCAATTTTCGAGTAAATTCATATGTCAAGTACATCTGGCATAACATCTGTCATATTGTGAAAGTTTAAAGTGAAACCACAATCCAGTATCAGTCCTCATTCTAAATGTTTGTTTTTATTCTTGTAATAACCCTGTATCATAGATAGCATAAAACAGTACATCTCACCCACACACATACAAACTATTGCTGTGTGAATTTCTAGACCTTCATTCAACATGATCCTCTGCCCATCTGCCCCACTGAACATGTCTGTCTGGAAATTATACAAGAAGTCAACACTGAAGGTCATTGTTATCTTAAGTATTTCTGTAGTTGCCCTGTTTCTCCTTCCAGCATCTTCAGTAAGTCTTCAAATCAGTAAGAAAAATAAAACAAACAAAAAACCAAAAAATGACTGAAAACTGAACAAATGTAATAAACTAGGACCTTAAAAAATAAAAATGACACAGCTGTCACAAAATGGTCACTTCACAAGAAATCAGAGAAACAGAATTTAAATTGAGACACTTCAACTTAATTTGAGACAAATAGTAAAATCACATTGTAGATGTAACCAACCATCTTATTAAATAAGAAAAACACAGAACCAATGCAAAGAAGAAAGCCAAGAGGTAAGAGGTAAGAGCTAAAACGTTACCCTTCCTCCTGTGGTGGTCCTACCTCTCCGAACCAGAGCTATTTCCTGTTTTAAAGTCTTTATATAGAGTTTCTGTTCTGCCTTCTCATTGGTTGTAAACCCAACCACATGACCGCCTTGTCACGGCCTGTCTGTATAGACCTCCAGGTCTATGGTTGGTATTGAGATTAAAGGCATCCAATGTGTATCCAATGCTGGCTGTATCCCTGAACACACAGAGACTTACCTAGCTCTGCCTACCAAGTGCTGGGATTACAAGCATATGCCACCACCGCCCTGCTTTCCTAGGGCTTGCTGATAGCTCTGACCCCCAGGCAACTTTATTTATTAACATACAAATAACATTTTAATACAAATAAAATATCACCATATCACATAGTAGAAAAATTGGTAGGAACAGCATTCTCTTCCTATAAGATGAG